TAACGGGTTTCATTTCATCAGCACTGCAGGTGTAATATACTAACGGAGTAGCGAGAGCCCGTATCGAGCCTCCTGCTTGTGACTCGATGCGCTCCTTCAAGCCAAGCAGGTGCTCAGTTGAGTTGCATCCAGTGATTTAGAGAAGCATGTCCAACCCATTATCCTCTCTTCATCCATGCCTGTCTCAGTGGATTCTTTCGTCCTGCCAGCATTTTACATTGTCCTTTGCAGCTAACAAGGACACAATGGAGTGCATATTTATATGAACGAGTACATAATCTGAGCAACATTATTCAAGATAAGATACAGTTAGACTTTTTAAACTGTTCTAAATTGTGAAATTGACTTTTTTTTTATGTATCCTTAAAGCATTTTTGTAAAAAGCACAAGCATTGTTTCTGCATTTCTCTCAGAGTATAAAAAAAACTATCCACAGTATCCATATTGAAATTATCTTATAGTCACGTGGAAACTTCTTCCTGATACACCAGAGCACCAACTAGACACATGGACTTTCCACATTTAGAAACATCAAATTACTATTCAATTGTTCAATTGCAAATACAGTGTGTTCATCCTGAATGTGGCATTTCTACACACATGTACACTCAGCTTTATTAGATACACTTATACAATCTAATACCAATCCAATTTAACTGTTGAGAGGTGTTTTTAATATTCTGCCCCCCTCATGTATGTAAAAAATTAGAAACAGCTCCCAATATGATGTAACCTACTACAACACCTCCTGTAACTATGTCCTCGTTTAGTAATAGAGAATTGATTTTTCATATTTTCCACACTGTCAACAAACTTCATAAAGGTAGAATTTGTGGTAGAGCTGTTGTAGTGAATTACAAATGATTGAACAGGTGTAGCTAAAAAAAAAAAGTGGCCACTGAGTGTATAAGCATGTTTAAATTGAATAAATTAAAGAAAAAAAATTAATCTCTGAATTCATATAGATTATCATTTAATGCCTTAATAATGTTCTAACTACAGTAAATTAGCTCAAACTCTTTTTAAAATCTGGAACATATTTATGCTCTTATTCAATTTTCCTTTCAATCACTAAATGCGGAGTATATCAATACTATTCTCGCAAAGAATGAAGAGACAATAGCAACGAAGAACTATATAACTTTGCTCTCTTCATATAGTCTCTCTGTGTAGTTAGACTGGAACCGTCCCCCGGGTGAAGACCCCTCAAGCCTCGGGTGGAATGTAAAACAGGTGCTGCACAATTGGTTCCCCCACAGCGGGGGCGAAAGAAAAACAGCCGCCCCTGCAGGAACATGACTGACAGAACATCACATTCTCCAGCCAGCTGCGTCTCCAGATGATCCCTTACTTACACAGTCAGACTTAAGGGATAACATACAGCATGCATACAATATATTATGTGTTCTCATTCAACTGCAAGATCCACTGAATTAAAAAATTGAATTAAATTAAACTGTAGTGGTTAAATATTCCTTGATAGCATATTTTCTGATTTCTCGGACGGATTAGTTTTAATAGAGGAGATATATGTTTGTCATAAGACTAAATATGTGCGGCTTTGTCCTGCTTGACACCTTGTGTGTTCTTCAAGTGTAACATCTGGCATGGATTCATACAATGAAATTCTGGCTGGAGACTCAAAGAAAGGAATTTTTAATTGAAACCACTCTGAAGCCTGTGAGACTGAAATGTCTCCTGGCAAAAGCCTTCAAATACATACTCATGTTGCTTTGTCATGTGACCTCCTTCACCCATTCAAATAGTTTTTCCACATTTGTTGACTCCTGGTGTCAAACTGATAATAGTCTTTTCATGCTGATACATGAAAAGTTAAAAGTTATATCTTTTTGGGAAAATGGAAAGTCTTGGCCTTGCTGTCAAAAAATCATTCAAGTCACCAAACACTATGAGTGAAAAATGCATTTTATTGAAACCATTTTAACATCTACACTAGCTGTGGTTTTGGTTTGTCCATGAAAGTCTACTGCTGCCTCCCTTCCATCAGTCCAGCCCTGACCATAGCACATACCGGCACAACACTGAACCTACTGCTGTGCAACAATACACACATTCACAGCCCACAGACAGCAAATTGCTTCTCTCATTCCCCACCACGCCCTGCTTTCGTTCTCAGCCACCTGCAAAACAAACTGTGCTGGAAATTTCACTACAAATTACCCTGTGTCTGCCAAATCCCCCCGGGAGCGGAGGAAAATCAAAACCTTGGATCTCCCTGCCCCCGCAGAAACAGACATTAGCCTCACTCACATAGAAAATATCTTGACTGTATTTTGGTTTATAACACTAATAACCATGTTTTTTTCTTATTTATGAAATTCATTAAATCTGTTTTGTTACATTTGTTTTATAGAATTTTATGGTTTCAATTTGTATCTGGCAGTTTTAAGAGATTTCATTTGGCATTAAAAGTGGAGACAAGTCTTAAAAAACTACTGTTAACCTTTCACCAAAAAGCTGATTTGAATTAAAAAAAAATTGAAAATGTGTGGAGGTGAAGAGGAGAAACCATATGAAACTTCCCAGTTTACTTTTGTCATCACTAATTTCATGAACAACCCATACTTCTGTGGGCTTCGGGTCAACATGACATCGTGAAACTAAGCCTCCATTCCCACTAAGAAAGAGTGAAAACTGAGACCTGTTTCGCTTCAGGGGAAAATCAAAGGAAGGCACATACCTTAGCAGTGAATAATGATCAACAGCATTAACCAAACAGCATTTACATTGTCAGGGCCACAGTGCCTCCTGGTGTCGGCTCTGCAGAACTCCAGACAGACAGGAATGTCAGAGAGAGAGAGAGTGAGTCAGTGGCCGATGTGCCAGAGAGATGAGTGTTGAAAGCTCCTTGGAAAAAGGATTAGGGCTGTTTATGTTGGCCAAGTGGCCCGCTGCCAGCTGCTCAAGTGTGCAAACTTCTTAAAGCTGCAGAGCTTCAGTTTGCTCATGAATCTTTTCACTCTATTTACCCTCCACCCAGACTGTATGGATGGTTGTGCTTTGTTCAGGGGGAAAGCCCCTCCAGCTTCAGCCCCCACCTCCATAGAAACTCACTCTACTCCAAAAAAGTGCTGGATTCAAAACCAGCTCTTCTGCTACACCACCCCTCAAAAACACACCCGTACACAGAGTGCGCATAAATATGTATAAGTAGAAAAATGTATTTTGAGTAGAGTTTAGAACTGTTTCAGCATAATCTGATAGTTATATGTCAGTGAACCTCTTCTGCTCATTGGCATGTACTGTTTAATACTAATCAGACTCACCATAGTGTACTTGGCTTGTTGAAAGTAGGAATCCGATCACATTAAGTAAATTTATCCTCTACAGGAGCAGACTTGATATGGATTTCATCAAATATAAAAAGGCAGGGAGTAGAAGTGTCCAGGTTGGAGGTAGAGGAAAAAGGGGGAGCAGGGGAGGCCCGTGTATTAACAGTAGGATAAGACTCAGCCTGGGAGGTGGCAGCATGCCAGAGCTCTGCGGCCTGGAGCTAGATCAGAGCAGGGTTCGTGAGCTGTAGTTATGAGACGAGGGTCTCAGGTCATGGAACAATAAAAGGCACAGAGCCTCTGTGGCAATAGAGCTAAACTACAAATTTTGTTCTTGAGTCTTAGAAAATGCTCATATAGTTGTTGTTCACTATATGGATTGGACTGCTGCCCTCAAGTGGACAACTTACTTACACACACACACACACACACACACACACACACACACACACACACACACACACACTGGTTCTAAGATATTCATTTGTTGCAAATTCATAAAATTAATCTATCCAGCTGTCCCCATGTTTTTGAATTCCTACAGCACTTGTCTCTTCGGGATGTATGAAGAGTGTTTTTGGCTTTACACATCAGGTCCAAACTGTTTGGACAGCAACATTTGGGTATAATATTTTTCAACCAGAATATCCACCTTCAGACACTGGATTTCCTATTTGTTTTAGCAGTGCTGCTCTGCTGCTGACCTTGTCCTTAGATTTCTGCAGAGAGAGTGAATGCAAAACAATTCATTTTGCGTTTGGGTCTTTAAAATCCTGAAGGTTGTGTTACTGAGTGAAATCATATTTCATATCTACTGTGTAATTTCTTGTACAGATTTATTGTATTGTTTATGTATGAACTGTTCATATTTAAAGAACTGGCTATGGTGTCCAAGAGTGTACCAAGGACATGCATTGTGGTAGGGTTTTCCCTTTGAGTAAATACATAATGCACGATCCAAAGTTGGACCTTTCACTTGCTTGTATAAGCACAACTTGGAGGACTGGTATCAAACTATGATCTTTGTATGGTGTTGAGGTAATATAACTCTTTAAAAATCCATATCACATTGAAGTTGTTTCTCATATACTTATATTTTGAATTTTACTCTACTCACATCTATAGGTATTTCCACTGGAGGGACTGGTTTATAAACTGATGACTGACTGGGCAGAAGTTCAGTGCTCTCTGTAAAGTACTCTATTCAGCTACTGATAAGTTGGACCTCCAACTGTGGGAGTACTCAGAAGACTTTGATGTATAGCTGCTATACAAGCTTTGGTTATCATTTACTCAAAAAATGAATTTAAACTTTTTTGACCATCCAAAATAATGTATAAACCTACATGCAGTTTCACTCAGGAGCTGTCAAGACAGAAGACTGTCGCCATCCCTCCAAAACCCAACACACTACAGCAACGGTTTGTGCCTGCTATCTTTAGGCAATTGTGGGTACTGCAAGTAATCACAAATTACACGTATGTGCATATGTATGTATATTTAGTTGTATATTAGCTGTAGTGAGTGTTTTATCAGTTCATTGTGTGTGTGTGTGTGTGTGTGTGCGCGTGTGTGCGTCTATAATCACATTATAAATGACCAATTGTGCTAATATAGCCTACTCTTTAGTGGCAAAAATAATTGTCAAAAAAAAACTTTCAGACTCGTATACCATATACACTCACTTGTCAGTTTATTAGGAACCTAGCTAAAAGTAATGCAATCTAATACAACAGTCCTGCAATAAATCCTCCATTCATGACGATTATGTTCATTTTGTGTTGAAATTGTGTTGATTTAATTGTATGTTCACTTTGGAGGCTACAGCTTGTGGTGCTGTTGCTGTAAACTGAATGTTTGTATTAACTAGACACCTGCTGAATAAAAAGATTCAGACATTCATCATGTCCACTCTTCCATCCAAAATATAACTTAACTTTTTAGAAATATGTCAATAAAATTAGAGTACTTCAGACTTTAAAAAGTGCACTGGACAAGCCATGACAAATCCACACCTGTTCATGGTGGACTCAACTACCCATCAAACAATGCAAGATGGGAGTGTGTGCAATACCATACAAACTTAACTATAAAGGTTTAAGGCACTTTTCTAAATCTCACACTTCAGGGACATTGTAGATGAGTAAATGTAATTTTCTAAATGCAACACCTTGAATTTTAAAGATTGCAAGGTGTCAAATGAACTCATACAACCCAAAAAGATAAAGTATATTGCACCACATTGTTACTGTAAACACAATTCACGTTTTTGGCATTGTCAGATCCGGAGACAAGGCATGAGGTGCACGGCAATAACTAAACACTGAACACATAGACACAAAAAAATAAGTTAGATCAAAAAAGGCACACAAATAACGCTCAAACCCATGTCAAATACAGTGTAACCTCACTCAGCTTTGGCAACAGAGAAACACAATATATCTCTTCCAGTTTTGGGCTTAGAGTTTAAAAATATATTGTTGTACCATGACAGACATCTGATTTACACCTGATACGCGACACTGATATGATGACACTTTATGTGTTGATATTGACAACAGGCAGTGGTGGGAAGGCAGCTTGTGCTAAAGCCTAAACAGAAATACCTACAGTGTGGATTTTTTACTCCAGACACAAAGTTTTCCATTTGCACTCATTTTTCAGCTTGATTCATGTGAGGATTTCATATGACACAACCACTTAATACCTCAGATTTAGTAAAACACCTGAGGAACTGTGATCCCAGCAAATATCAAGAGTTTTTCAAAAACAATCAGGGAAACACAGTCCCAAGAATAATACTTCAGAAAACTGTTCTCTACGAAAGCTGTTTGATGAAATACTGTTCAACTACATTGTCACAAAAATGAGAACAGCGTGCAGCTACTTCACTTCAGTGCAACCACTGAAGTATCTGCATCAATCATCACAGTTATGGTAAAATAAAACGTAAATGTCACTGGTATAAACCAGACACGGTGATATTGCACGGAGTTAAACCTTTAAGAGATTTGGCTTTATCTTGATTGTCACATTCTTCTGAGGTCTAACCCAACAATCTTAAAATGATTCTGGTTTTCTAAGACTCAAGTCTGGACTATCCCGGTTCTTGAAAATCCTCAGGCCTCATTAAGCTGAGGTCCATCCCTGAGTCATTTGAAGATTTGATGGATGACTGTAAAGCACCACTACCATCTGTTGGTGAAACTGCTCCATTATCTTTTGTTTTGAAATAAATTACATAAAATAATGGCAGGACAATGCCTATCAGGAGCATGGCGACTACAGCGTTCCACCATTGGATTCCCCAGTCTGCACCGTGACTGGTCAGGCCCCGTCGTCTGAAACCAAACCTTTGCTCTTTTTCTGAGTTATCCAAGAAATCCTCATCTTGATCATTCGTAGTCTGAATTAGTTTCTCAATGTCATTATCCACCTCGATTAGAAAGTCTGTGACCTCCTGTAGATGTGGTTGGGATCTGGCTCTGTCCTGAGGCCTGACTGGTGTGGTGGATGAATGTGGCATCTCTTCTTGAAGGTCACTTGGGTCTGTGTAAGTCTCAGTTAAAAAGCTGTGTTTCTGAACTGGTATTTTGATAGATGTCAGTGCAAATAAATCTTGCTCTTGCATAAGGTTGTTCACCCGCTTTATATCGGCCACCTGTGGGTAGAAATGGGAATGAAGGAACATTAATATCAATACAGTACAATTATTAAAACACTGAGGGGGATCACCAACACAAGAAATTCTTAAAAAATAAACAAATAAATGTTTACCTTACACCCATATTGTAGTGCAAGCTTGTTAAGATTGTCACCTTCTAACACCTTCCGCTCCAGCAGCTGTACGTTTCTCAGTCTGTCCTGCTCCTGCTCCAGGAAAACCCGCGGCCTCATCTCCATGACACTGAGCTCCTCATCATCTGAGGATATGGCTGACTCATTTGGCCTCCTCTTGAACATATACACATGGCCATCTGCGCTGGCATGGACATCCACCGGGGCCTGGAAAGCCCGTGGAACATGCTCGCCCCGCCGCATAATGACACCCAAGCCTGTCGGGAATATCCCAATTCCAACAGTCAGTTTTTTATTTTTTATTTAACAACTACCACAGAAATATATATATATATATATATATATATATATATATAAATATATACATAATATATAAATACATACATACATACATATATTTCAATTTAAAAATGTTTTGTAATGCATATTTTAAAACTTGAGACTCTCAGTTGCATCTCACCTGTGTTTTGGCATACTCAGTGCAAGACTAAAATTATTTTCATATTGATTTATATGCCAGTTATTTGACTAATTGTTCACAATTTCACAGAGTCCAAGGATATGTCTTCAAATGTTTTGTTTTACCAGCACAGCAAAATTCTGAAAAGGATTTTAGTTTACAATGATATAAACCAGAGAAAAGCTGCAAGCCCTCACATTGGAGGTTTTTTTTTCCCATAGCTGAATACTTTTTATATAACAGATTCACCTAAATCTTAATGCCAGTGCTAACTCACAATGTTTAGTGGGTGGACAGGACTGATGCATTCACAGGAGAATTTCAGTGACTCATGCTCAGCAGAGGAAAAAAAAATTCAACTGCACTTCACTTCGCCAGGATTCTATTTAACCCCCCTTTTATTTTATGTACCCTTGTTATCAATAAAGTGTTGCCACGGTTAACTTTCACAATGTGTGAATCTAACAGTAGTTTATTATTGGAAAACCATACTATTAACGCCACATAACACAAACAAACCACACCGACAGCTCCCTTTTGCGAGGAGTCTCAGTGGCTGTTCGGTCCGCGTCTCAATAACTTTTATACGATCCTAAGCGAACCAAAGCAAATGTTACCTCCACCTACATTAGTTATGTGGTTGACTATTAACCTCGGATTCCACCTGAAACATTTAATTGAATTCAATTTAAGCTTACAGTTACGTTTACATGTTGACAAGTAAAGTTGTAGGAGGACGGAGCAAAACAAGGAGCACTTGAAGGGAGCACTAACGTTAGCTAACATGCTAATGTAGCTAACAGCAGCAAGTTAGCTTTAGCTCTTGCATGTGTTAACCCAACTGTCGGCACCGTGGCAGAAAGCAAGTCAGCAAACTGCTTTACTCCGGCTTCAGCTACGCTTAGCTCATGTGTTTGAGATCACATAAATAAACGCTACTAACATGAAACACAGTTTCACAGACTATTTAAACTCAGACGGCGCTGTTTCCATCCAGTTACCTTATCCAAATGCTTTAGCAACAGTAATGCAAGCCACCGCCGTCCCACGGCAGTCCGTCCCAGCTTGGCTTACTAACATTACAACAGCCAGCGGTGTCAGTGGCTACTGGGTTAGCTTACTTCTTCTTCTTTGTACCTTCTGTAAAACAAATTGGCATAGACGGGATTTACCATACCGCCACCTACTGCTCTACAAATGACACAACATTGACAACAGTAAATGATTTTTAGTTCTAAATAAAAATGTTCAGTTAAGTGGTAATGATGATGCTCTTTTTTTTTTAATTGTTGTTTGGTTCTGTTGTGGTCATCTGCTGTGTGTGATGTATTTATGGGCAGGTTATTAAACTAAAACTAAAGCAGTGTAATACAGCAGTTCTGCAATACACCATACCTTCATGACATTTACAGTTGAAATAATTTTCATAGATTGTGTGAAGTTGTGTCAATTCAACTGTATGATAAGATTGGAGGCTGTAGTTTGTTAAGCTGTTGAACTGTATTGTATTATACTAACAGGCATCTGTAGCCTATTATTTTGTCCACCCTATTTATATCAATGAGGGCAGGCTAAATAATAGAAGTGCCTCTCTGTATAATGCAATAAAGTTCAACAGCACCATAGACGACATCCTCCAAAACGATCAGTATGTTGAATCAGCAGCTCTCTAAAACAGTTTCAACAAAAGCTGAACATTATAATCTTCATAAGGAGGATTTATTGTAGAGCTGTTGTATTAGGCTGCATAGCTAGATTTAGCTAGATGGACCTAATAAACTGACAACTGAGTGTTTGCTAGTGTGGATACACACTGTAGATAAAGGTTTTCCCACATATGTGACAATACCTATTCACATTCGGATGCCAAACCACTGAAAATGACTTTAAATTCTGACTTTGGCCACTGTTGTACCATTTGTGACTTTTCTGATTTGTACATAGAGCACAGTTCCTGTATGTATAGGAAAATTAAATGTGTTTGAAAGCATGTAGGACCTCAGAGCACAAGATCTCAGAGAATTTAATGATGTGCTCAACATTTTTTGTATGGCCTGCAGCTCTGCACTAAAATTGGCCTAGTACACCATCACTTCTCAAAATCTACAACTTATAACTGATGCTGTATAATATAAAAAATAGCATATGAGAATTCCTTTCTTACTTTATACACTAATTGAAATTTAGCAACTTTCTTACAATATTGGTGAGGACAGCAACAGTACTTAGCCTGGGATGAGAGGAAGCTAGAATGTGAATATTGGTTCCTGTGTCTCAAGGGAAAGAACAAAAGAGGCATAAAGGTCTGTGTAATGGTGGGACATTCTTAAACCACTAGATGGGGCTATTGATCTTTCACGTCACTTCATCAGAGTTGCTTATCAGATCAGAGAAACTGATGCTGAGCCATTTTTGCAAGGGGCAAAGCATTATTTCCTACTTTGTTATTTATTGCTATTATTAATTATCAGTTTGGTAGTTTATCCAAAAAAAATGACAGCAATGTTGAGTCACCTGGTGGATGCCACCACAAAAATAGATACCATATATGAGCACTCTTGTCTGCAATCTGTACCACATCCTGCATGGTGAACACTATCAGGAAAAAGGTATGAGCCAGCATATAGCCTTCCCAATCAATAAAAAATATTTAATCAGCTCAATTACTGCACTAAACCCCAGGGTGAGCTGAAACAATTGTCAGCATTATGTGGTTATACTGGCTGTTGTACAACAGGTTTTTACCCTGTGAAAAACTTTGAGCATAGCAATTTCCTCCACTATAGCTTAAAGTTTATTTAGATTGAAAGTCACCAGGAGTAAAACTCCAGAGTCCAGCTCATGAAAACATGTCTGTTTTTCCTTCTTCAGCAGCTTCTTAGAGAATCTCCCCCATGTTCTACTAGAGGAGATGTCTTTATCTCAGTGTATTACAAAAACTAGACATAACAAACCAACAGCAGCTCATGTTATCCTGGGACATCCATGGTTATCCATCTTGCAGCTAGCATACAGAAAGTATGTTATCCCATGTAAGACACATGAAAGGGCATTACTCTTCCACTACCACCTTCCAAAGACACGAAGGAAAAGATGTTTGTGAACTGTCTAGGTTACATATACACTAAAAAGTGTCAGTGTTCTGCAATAATGATCTGAAACCCCATGTTACTTAAAGGTATGCGCTAACAGACTGAAATCGATTAAAAATAGTTGGAGTAACATCCAAACAGTGATTCCAAATCAAGGCTACAAATAAATACATACCACACTGAAAAAAATTACACTGAATTACAAATGACTTGAATGTCTCTTGTTAAGACAGAATAAACTATAAAAACAACACAGGATAATATAGACATATAGGAGGTGAATTTTTAAAATGCCTCCTCTGTCCTCCACAGTTGTTGAAGTTCGTGCGTCCTTGCGTACCTTGGAGCGTGACAAACGTCCCGCCTGATTGGTCAATTCTGAACAGCGCGCATTAATTTAAATGAATGTAGTTGCTGATCCTTCCATGACATGCACAACTTTAGTTTACATAAAGGGGACTCTGGGCCTATTATAAATATGAGGCGGACATGAAAATTACCAGTACTTTGAAATGTATGTCCTAAAGGGGTTTGAGACAGTGCTTAACTTGGACTAGTCTCTTACGCCTTGCCAATCAGTCTCCTGAAACACCTGTATGCTGAGGCCTAGTTGGCACACAGAGGCGGCGCGCTGGGCCGGTCGGTGGTAAGCAAATTACGATTTATAGTATTAAAACGTTACCTATAAACGTACGCGTGTCTTATATTGAAATGTTCCCCTAATTAGAGAGCAGAAATATAACTTCAATCGATAACTTCATGGCTAACCAAGCTAAATATGGAGTGACGTTAGTCAAGATAAGCTAGCCTTATCATAAGAAAGATGCTAGCTTATTTTAAGATACTGCTAGCTTACCTTTGTTTAACTTTAGCCAACAGAAAATGTTTGGGTTCTTTTTTTAAATCATTGTGGGGAAAAATGAAGTAAAACGTGATTTTGTTGTTGACCTGACTGGGTGCACAGGGGTATTCCTACTGTATGAAACTATAAAGGTGTCATTTCAACAATGCAAGGCCAAAATATTATAAATCTCATAAAGCATTATTATATATGAAACATTCGCCCTGCCAAGATTTTTAAAGTTTCTCTTATGCAGAGTGGGGATGTCCTGAAAACAGTCCCCCCCCTGCTGTTTGTTTCTTTTGTGTCTTAATGGCAATCACAGCTTGGCATTTTTACAGCTGATATATTGTGGCAAACAAAGGATTGGAAATGGATCAGGGTTGATATAAGTAATACTGATCCATCAAAAGATGCCTGTCTCATGTAGTCGATCAGCGGACCACTGGCTCCCAACTAGCCTTGGTCTCCACATATCTCCTTAGATATTAGGCCATGTCCCACACATTGGCCAACTTAAAAACCATTCAATTTCATTTGAATCTCATATTCTTTATTTTTGTACTCTTCATCATACAGCACACTGATGTTTAAAAACTGAGGTAAATTGTCTTGTCATGTTGTTTTTGTTTGGCTTTGTTGTGGAGTTAGCTAGATTTCTTCCAGTCCGTGCTTATAGAAGGAAAAACTTCAGAGTGAACCAGAATAATATGCAAGGCTGTTGTTGAAGAAAGTAGAAGAAGCTACTATTTGGGAGCTGCGTTAGTTAGTTGGTACTGTGAAGTATACACTTTACAGTAGAAACTACTACTACTTGTTGTGCTGCAGCTCACTGTGCAATGGTAAATAGTACCTCATAGTAATAGTGCTGTGCCAGAAACATGCTACAGTTCAAAATAGGGTTGACCTAATAGTAAATGAATTAAGCAAAGTGTATACTGATGCATATGCATGACATTAATATTGATGCTCTCCTATGGTCTAAACAGGTGCAGTATCAGCAGGAAAAAGATAAAAAGCCAAGCAGGGAGAGAAGACTGAACAGGTGAGAATTTAGACTGAACTTAATGTTATTAAACATGACAATTATTTGTGATTTGTCTAATCAGTGCGCAGTACGTCTTTTTTGGTAATTTGCATTAAGTGCACAAACAAAATATAAAAGTATGAAATTGTTGTTGTCAAAACAGGCATCAGAGTTTCAGATGGAGAAAGAGAGCACCTGGGGCAGAAAGACAGAGGTGATGAGGTAAGTTGTATTGTTGTCACACAGACCATGATATTGGTTTAGTAGTTGGTGTTATTGTGGAACGTTTTTCGCATGGCTCATTGAACTGTGCCATAACCAGTCTACAAAGAGTCAAGAAAGCACCTTTTCATTGGCAGCTTTTCAAGCTGTTGTAGTTGTTTGTGCTAGAGACAGGGATGTGGAAAGTGACACAGAGACTGCAAGTGAGAGGTTGGACACAGAGTGCAATACTATAAGAGTGACCAGATGTCCTGTTTAAATTGTAATTATCCATACTGTTGGGCATTTGTCTCTTGTCAGTGATGTTTTTTGTCCCAACTGAATAGGAATTATGATATAATGACCTTAAAATGTGGAAATCTTTGTGGAATGTAACACCAAGGCAGACTTAAGGCCATATCAGTGTATAAGGGACAAGATAGATCTGTGTTCTGAATGGTAAAGAATCTCTTCTGTGTATCGGTGGGGTTTGTGTGTGGAGTTTCTGACCATGTTGAGATTGTAGGAATCGTGACTGGTCAGCATGGGATGTATTTGTTTTCTCAAAGTTTCTAATACTGGTAGTGATTGAAGACAACATGATGTAAGGCTCTGTAATCTTCTGCTTTGGTTAATGCACATGCTGTCCGCTGTGATTTTTGCTCTCTGTTGCAGTGAATGAAAGAATGTAGACATGGTTACTTAGGCTGAATGATTCCAGTTGTTACCTATTCAAGGCAAACCATCCTCTTGTTGCTCTTATCAAAAAATGAATGTAAGAATGTTACTTAAGGTAAAGTACAATATGGCCTGATAATGCACAACATATCCATCAAACGCTGCTGTGGTGGAGTGAATCTGTGGGAATCTGTAGGCTTGATGATGCACAGACCATGATGCACAAGTATAATTCCACCATTAATTATCAAATCTTCTCCAGTGTGTATAATC